TCCTCGCTGCCGGGCCCAAGTGTGTAGCCCCCGTACCGACCCTCCTTCATGCTGCTTGCCAGGCCCGTAATCTGTCATGGCCCCCGTACCGACTCCTCATGCTGCTGCCAGGCCCGTAATCTTCCCATGGCGCCCCTTGTACGCCTCCTCATGCTGCTGCCAGGTCCAGGAGTGTGGTCATAGGGTCCCTGTACGGCCTCCGCCATTGCTGCTGCCAGGCCCGTAAAAAAATCTGCCATGGGCCCCCGTACCAACTCCATTCCATGCTGCTTGCCAGGCCCGTAATCTGTCATGGGCCCCAGTACCAACCGCCTCCTCATGCATGCTGCCCATAAGGTCCAAGTGCTGTCATGAGTCCCTGTACGGCCTCCCATTGCTGCTGTCTTCCATCGCCACACTCTGCCATGTGCCACTTTCAGGTGTCTCCTCACACACTGCTGGTGGTTTCCATTTTTGTCATAGGGTGCTGTATAGGCCTCCCATTGGCAGCTGGCCTCCACCGCCACACTGTGGCTCCACACTCTGGTTTTGGCCCCCCGTTGTCTGAAGCCTAGAAACACCCTTTTTATAAATTAAATTCGCAGCGAATATATCTCGACTCGAATCGAAATTTTTTTCACGAATTCGCCGAATCAGTCGAATCGAATTTTTGAATAATTCGCTCATCTCTAGCAATAACCCCTCCACATACTGGCACACATTTGCTCTTTTTTTTAAATATTACAGTACAATATCCATTTGCCTTTTTAGTGTGACTAAAGTCATTTAAAGTGTGTTCATGTTTCTCATGTTCCAGTTAAAAATAAACAGTCTTTAACGGAACCATATTTAAAATCCTGCCCATACACTCCTGTGCTGAAACTCCTGTCATTGCCCCAAATGTTTACCTCCAGTGGGTAACCCAAATGAAATACCTTGAAATAATCATCACTAGTTTGATCTCTGACTGATCTCTCTCAATGTTTTTCCATTAATTACACTCCTTAAAACTGACTGAATGCTTGTAAAAGTCTCCCGTTATAAATAGGCAAAATAAACTTCCTCCCCCTAGAATAAAAATCCTCCCCATTTTTCCTTTATGTTTTTTCGAAACTTCCCTATGTAAACTCTTAAATATATCTTTAAATCTATAAACAGATTAACTACATTCCTATAGCAGGGCAGGACTCCTCGGATCAAACTGATGGTCCTGCAGCACCCTTGGCGGGAGAGGGTCTGACAGTACCCAATTTCATTAGATATTCTCTTGCCAGGCAATTGGTTATCGCTCATCACTGGCAAATGATTCCTTTTGATGTTGGCTCCTATTAGTCCTTGACCCGTATGGTACATAGGGACCCAAAATCCCCTTATGAGTTAACCTGTTTCATGTGATCCATTCTTAAAGCCTGGGGGTGTGACCTCATAGGTTGGGAGGCCAGGAGTCCCCACCTCCCTCTCCGTGCACTGTGTTATGGAAATTCTCGAATCTAACTCATTTTTATACTTTTTCTGATCCCGTTTTAAAGACCAGGTTTGGAATCAAAAAGCTCCAAAGTGTAGTTAGAAATGGGTCTCTGTTGACCTTAAATGAGCTCAAATAATCTTTATCATCTGCTCAATACTCATATATTTCAATACTTACAACTCCAGCATGCTTTTCGAACATAAGTTCGGACTGACTTGATTATCCTCCTGTCAGGGGAGCTGAAGCATTTTACTGAGAGTTGATTTTCTGACTAAGACACTTTCAACCATTTATAATCAATTATTTCCAGAAACAGTCACTGTGACGATCAGACCCCCAGCCCTTCTCACCAAACCCGTGACCAAAGGACTAGCCAATCTAAAACCACGCTGTGATGTGCATAACAATCTGCCACACCCAGCTGCACCCTACACAAAGATTTTCCAGCTAATGGGCCACAACCTGTGTGCCGGCAGCCTGGGAGCGATTGTTACTGGGTTAGGTTAATTACGTAATTAACCCTTCACACTGCCACCACCTCCTTTTTGTAGAAAGAGGAAACTCAGCAATATATCAGCAATAATAACATTATGATGTGTTTGAATAATCGTCGGTATACTACTACTGTCACCGCAGGCAGAGATACCGAAGTTTAAAACACACACAGTAGCGCTCTTCAGAGGCAGGGGTGCTTAGTTTGCATTTAAAGAACATTAGAAACAGTTCAACACTTTCAGAAAGTAAGATTTATTACTAAAAGGTCAAAAGGGTGCAATACAAATATTTACAGAAAAAGATGTAGCCAATATATATATTTATATACAGAAAACAATAGCACAGCAAAGAGATAAACAGAAAGAAGTTTTAGAGGGGATAAAGTACTTGCCGTCAGCCTTGGGTTAAGCAGATCAGGTTTCAGAGCCAAAAGAATCTTATCTCCCAAAAGTTAGTTTCCGATTTACTCACTATATGCAGCTGAATTTTTTAGTCTCTGTGTACCTTAAATATTCAGGGGTTCGGCTATCTGCCGAAGTTAGCGGCTCGGCTCTCGCGCTGATTCGAGGCGAATACGTGAATTCTATCAGCAAAAATTTTTCGCGATTGGCTGGACTTCGCTCGATTCTTTGGCGCGGAAATCTAAAATTTTGATGATTCGATGGTTTTGAGGGACACAGCGATTCGGCTGCAATTTTTTACGCTTATAATTAAGGAGTGTTTCTAAAAGGCTCTGTGAATACTTTATGTTTCGTCGAGTATTTTATTACTATCTGTTACCTTTAATTTTAAATTCATTTTTTTTTTAATTTGATTATTTTTTAGAATCTTCGTTATATATACTTATATTTTTTTATTATTTTTATATCGTGTTTTTAGCATTTTTTTTATATTTTTTTATTTATTTCCATTTTTTAAAAATTTTTTAGTATTTGGTTTATATTTAATAATAAAAAAATTTTTTACAATTTTATATAATTATAATTATTTTCTGTTGGTTTTTTTTTTTTTTTTTTTTCGTTATTTTTATTTTTTTATTTGTTTTTTTTTTTTACCTATTTTTAATAACAATCCGTTTTTTTTTTTGATTTTTTTTTTTTTTTCTTTGTAATCGTATAATTGAACATTGTTTCTCTTTAAAAATTTTTATTTTTTTTTTTCAGATTTTTTATTTTTATTTTTTCTTTTGGGTTTTTCGTTTTCTTTTTGCTTAAAAATCCCTTAATTTTTTAAATTCTTTTTTTATTTATTTTTTTTTTTTTTATTTTATTTTAAAAATTTTTTAAAATAATATGTTTTTTTTATTCGTGTTTTTATGTATTTTTTTCGATAACGCACAATTTTTTTTTTTTTTTTTTTTTAAGTTTTTTTTTATTTTATAGTTAAAACACGCTGATTTTTTTAAATTTTTATAAAGGATATTTATTAATTTAAGGGCCCATGGCAAATTTTTTATTTTTTAAATTTTTTTAATATGTTTTTAATTTTTATTTTATTGTTTTTTTTTTTTTTTTTTTTTTAAAAAAATTTTAAAATTTTTTTTTCGTTTTTTATTTTTTTCTTGCCTGTTATTATATTTTTTTTCTGTTGATTGAATACGTTTTTTTTCGTTTTTTTAAATTTTTTAATTATTTATTTTATATTAAATTATTTTATTGGACCTGGCAGCATCGTTCATGAGGAGCGATAAATATTCGCTGCGAATTTAAACTTATAAAAATGGGTGTTTCTAGGCTTCAGAGAGCCTTTATATTATCGTGCAGACTACCTGTAAACCTTTAATTTCAATGCCCTTGGAGTCTGCTGGGGAAGAGAAAAATACATTACTGTCAGTCAGTATGACATGCAGATGAGGTCGTTCGCGAAAAAAGAATCACCGCACACTTCACTCATTTGGGCAGTCACGGGGCCTAACCAAAACCAGAGTGGTGGAAGCCACAGTGTGGCTGGTGGAGGCAGCTGCACAATGGGAGGCCATACAGCACCCCATGTACAAAAATGGAAACCCACCAGCCAGTGTGAGGAGACCTGAAAGTGGCACATTGGCAGAGTGTGGCGATGGAGAAGCAGCAATGGGAGGCCGTAAGGGAACCCATGAGAGACTCTGGACCTTGGTGGCAGCAGCATGAGGAGGAGCGGTATACAGGGGGCCATGGCAGATTAGGGCCTGGCAGCAGCTATGGAGGCCCGTTAAGGGGCCCATGCGCAGATTCCAGCACCCTATGTCCAAAAAATTTATAACACACCAGACATGTGCAGGAGACCTGAATACATGGCACATGGCAGATTAGTGTGGCGATGGAGACAGTCCAGCACAATGGAGGGTCGTACAGGGGACCCATGACAGACTCTGGACCTGGCTAGCAGCATGAGGACCGGCTGGGTGGTATATAGGCAGCGCCATGGCAGATTACGGGCCTGGCAGCAGCTATGAGGAGGCCGGTACGGGGGGCCCATGTCAAAAAAATTACAGGGCCTGGCAGCAGCAATGGTGAGGACCAACAGCACTATGGAGTGTGCAAATGGAACCCACCAAGCGCAGAGAGACCGTGAAAGTGGCACATGGCATGCGAGTGTGGCTATAGCAGCTGAAAGTGAGGCCGTACAGGGACCCATGACTCTGGACACTGGCAGCAGATGAGGAGGCCTGGTTACAGGGCCCATGCAGCTGGCGCAGCATGAGGAGTCGTGTTACGGGGGCCCATGACAGATTACGGGCCTGGCAGCAGCTATGGAGATGAGGCGGTCGGTATAGGGGCCCATGGCAGAGTGGGCGGGAGCGTAAGCAGCAGCTATGGAAGGCCGTAATCAGCCAGCAGATCACCTATGTCAAAAAAATGGAAACACACCAGCAGTGTGTGAGGAGACCTGAAAGGTGGCCACATGGCAGAGTGTGGGCGATGGAGACAGCAGCAATGGGAGGCCGTACAGGGACCCATGAGAAACTCTGGACCTGGCAGCAGCATGAGGAGGCTCTACTAGGGGCAATCTACTGGCAGATTAGGGCCTGGGGCAGCTCTGGGCCCGTAATCTGCCAGACCCTATAGACAAAAATTGTTCAGTGAGGAGACCTGAAAGTACATGCAGAGTGTGGCGATGGAGACAGCTTGAGCGAGTAATAACAGTCACCTGTGCTGCCCTTTGGTGTGGCCGATGGCTTAATGCGAGACACTGTGGACCTGGCAGCAGCATGAGGAGGCGGTTAAGGGATGCCAATGGCAGATTGGGCCTGGCAGCAGCTATGGGAGGCCCGTAATCTGCCAGCACCCTATGAAAAAATTACACCACCAGCAGTGTGAGGAGACCTGAAAGAGGGCACATGGCAGAGTGTGGCGATGGAGAGCAGCAGCAATGGGAGGCCGTACAGGGACCCATGATGAGCACTCTGGACCTGGCAGCAGCATGAGGCCGGTTAGGCGTACAGGGGCCCATGGCAGATTAGTGGGGAGGCAGCAGCAATGGGAGGCCGTATACGCAACCCTATCACAAAATGGAACACACCAGCAGTGTTAGAGACCTGAAAGTGGCACATGGCAGAGTCTGGCGATGAAGTCAGCAGCAATGGGAGGCCGTACAGGGACCCATGACACACTCTGGACCTGGCAGCAGCAAGAGGAGGAGGTGCGGTACAGGGGCCCATGGCAGATTAGGGGGCTGAAGCTAAAGGCCCGTTAAGCAGCTTAAATTGAAGGCCACCACAGAGGCCTATGTTAAAAATAATGGCACATGTTTGGGCATGATTCATGGCGGATTTAGTCAGTTGTGTCAGGAACTGGTGGTTTGAAATCCAGACTAATCCACGCCTGATTCATTTTCACAAACGTGAGTCTCTCCACACTTTGGGTGGACAGTCGTGTCCTCCGCGGAGTTACAATACCTCCTGCCGCACTAAACACGCGCTCCGATGCCACGCTACGCTTGGCCGGGCATGACAGCCTTTCAAGGGCAAATTCAGCTAGTTGGGGCCAAAGGTCAAGTTTCGTTGCCCAGTAGTCAAGGGGATTGTCTACCTCGGTTGGCAGGGTGCTGTCCAAGTAGGCCCAAGCCTGTTGTTTGAGGTCCTGCTCCAGGTCCACCTGATGCTGCTGCTGCTGCTGCGGCTGGTTAGTAGTTTTTCCTCACTGCGCTGGTGAAGAAAGCTACTCATCATCGACTGCAGACTGAGGCAGCCGCTGCTGGTGGAGCTGCCACTGCTCCTACCCACCCCACCCCTCCCCTGCTGCCATGGCAGCGGAACGCGAGCGCACAGGGCCCACAGTGTCTGAGGATGGACGTTGGCGCAGAAAGGCAGAGACCAAGCTGACTACATAGGTGGTTTTTATAGTACGTTATTTTGGCCTCCCTCTCAGCAGGTGTGAAAAAGGCCACCATTTTTGAACGGTAGCGAGGGTCCAACAAGGTGGACAGCCAAAAGTCATCCCTCTGTCTGATGGTTATTATTCGGCTGTCGCTACGCAAGCAACCGAGCATGCTATGGGCCATTTGTGCCAAGGAATGCGAGGGACTCCCTGCCTCCATCTCCACAGCATACTGCCACGGTGCGTCTGGGTCCTCTGTCTCCTCCTCCTCCTCCTCTACCAGATGCTCCTGCTCCTCCACTCCTGTCCGCTGAGTGGAAAAACCACCCATTTCACTCAATAATTCCTGAGCACCAATGTCCTCCTCTACCTCCTCCTCTTCTTCCTGTCCTGCCCCCCACAGGGGTCATGTGGCGTTGAGATCTGTGCGCCACGTCTACCGCACCCTGACCAGCCATTGTTAACAGCATTTGTTCCAGGACGTGCAACAGAGGAATGACGTCGTTCATCCCATAGTCCTGCCGACTCACGAATAGCGTGGCCTCCTCAAAGGGCCTGAGCAAGCGGCAGGTGTCACGCATGAGCTGCCAATGGCTGACATCTAAGTTACACAGGGGAGTACCTTTATCCGCTTGTAACATCAGGAAATCGGTGATGGCCTTTCGCTGTTCGTAAAGGCGGTCTAACATGTGTAGGGTTGAATTCCACCTTGTTGCAACGTCGCAGATCAGGCGATGCTGTGGAATTCCGTTCTGCCGCTGCAGCTCAAGGAGGGTGTGCTTTGCGGTGTAGGAATGGCTGAAATGCATGCAAAGTTTACGTGACATTTTAAGGATGTCTTGCAGTGGGATGGTGGATTTGAACCGCTTGACAACCAGATTGAACACGTGAGCCATGCATGGCGCATGGCACAACCTTCCTTGACGCAGAGCAGACACCATGTTCTTTCCGTTGTCGGTCAACATGGTTCCGATTTTCAGTTTGCGCGGAGACAGCCATCTGTCGATTTCTCTGTTCATTACACTCAGAAGTTCCTCCCCTGTGTGACTACGTTCGCCAAGGCATACCAGGTGCAGCACAGCGTGACACCGTTGCGCCCTGCACATGTGATATGCCGGTCGGGTAATGGGACTTGGCACGGGGGTGGCGGCTGAGGACACGGCGGAAGAAGAGGTGGTAGAGGCGGACATCTTTGCGGACCAAGGACGTGCAAACGTGGAGGCAAAAGCGGCGTGACCTGTCCAAGTTGCTGGTGCGGCTGTGACGGCACCACGTTCACCACGTTCACCCAGTGGGCCGTAAATGACATGTACTGTCCCTGACCGTAGTTACAGCTCCACACGTCGGCGCTGCCGTGCACTTTGGCAGAGACCGACATGCTCAAAGACTGGCCCACCATCTCTTCTACATGTGAATGCAGGGCTGGCACTGCCTTTTTGGCGAAGAAATGACGGCTTGGCACTCTCCACCGCGGCGCGGCACAAGCCATCATTTCTCTGAAAGGTGCTGAGTCCACCACTTGGAAAGGGAGGGACTGCAGCACCAGCAACTTGGACAGGAGGACGTTCAGCTTTTGCACCGTCGGGTGGTGCGTGCTCGCAAACTGTTGTCTCTTGGAAACGGATTCCAAGAAAGACTGCTGACGGAATCCGTGAAGAGGAGTAGCAGGAGAAGGAGCATCTGAACGAGCGGAAGATGCCAACGAGCGACAACTCCCCTCAGCAGAGGTGTTGGAGCCTTGACTGGCTGATGGAGGGCGATTGACGTCGGGTGACGGAGCAAGTAACGGAGCGGGTGATGGAGCGGGGGCTGGGGCGGGCAGAACCGCCGTATCTTTATCACGGTTTTTTTCCCAGGCCACCAAATGGCGACGCTGCATATGCTGCCGCAACGCTGTAGTCCCAACATGGGCCCCCTGGCCACGCTTGACTTTCTGGCCACATAGTCGACATACGGCTACGTTTACTTCCTCTCGGGCGGCTTGACGAAAAATTGCCACACCCGCCGAGTAGGAAACTTTGCCCCCGATACTCCTCACTGGCTGACTGCTGCTTCCTCCGTGCACACCGGCACCACTACTGGCCGTGGTGGTAGGCTGCAGTGGAGCTGGTGCTCTACTCCGTGGCCGTTTGGCTCCACTGACACTGCTGCGACCCTGCTGCTGTGCTCCTGGGCAACCCACCGACTGTTTTGCTCGCTGCCAAGCTGCCACCCTCTTCTCCTGATGATGCGGAAGAAATTGCCTGATGACGACGAGGCTGCCAAGTGCGATCAACCTCCTCATCATCAAGTAGGGTCTCCCGCCTCACTACTAGCCCCCTCGGCTGCGTCTGGGTCAGGAGACAGACCTGTCTCTAGACCGGCTACCGAGCCACTCTCCTCGCCACTACTTCTTCGCCTGGCTGCTGAAAAGGCGGATGTCTCCCCCCGTTCCTGACCGCCCTCTGTTAGCTCTTCCTCACTGTACAGTGGGGCTGAGCCCACAGCATGCGATACTTCGCTTGGTGAGGGAACACCAAAGGACAGGGCAGGTAGAGGACACGTGATTTCAGTGGGCTTGGTCCCGGGCCATGCCAACTAACGGTTGTGTCTGACGTACCCACCGACCGTTGGCTGTAGGTGTCAGAGGTGACCTGGGAAGAGGAAGACGACCGAGCCAACCAATCGACGACGGCAGGGTTGTCGGTGGAGACACGACCGCTGGATGACACCGGGAGCACTGGCCTCTGGCTGCGAATAGTGCTGCCTCGACCCCTTCCTCTGCTGCCACTCGTCTTCTGCTCGCTCCTAAAAAACATTGCCTCCTCTGCCACTCCTCTGCATGTTGTCTGACATACTCTTTAATTAAACGATTATGTGTCCCTGAGTAACAATTCTGTGTCCTGAGTAACAATTCTGTGTCTGTGCGAGTAACAATTCTGTGGCCCTAAGTAACAGTTCTGTGGCCCTCAGTAACAATTCTGTGTCCCTGATTAACGTTTCTGTGGCCCCAAGTAACAGTTCTGTGGCCCTCAGTAACAATTCTGTGTCTGTGCGAGTAACAATTCTGTGTCTGTGCGAGTAACAATTCTGTGGCCCTAAGTAAGTTTCTGTGGCCCTAAGTAACAATTCTCTGGCACTCAGTAACAATTCTGTCTGTCCCTGAGTAACAATTCTCTGTGGCCCCTCAGTAACAATTCTGTGTCCCTGAGTAAAAATTCTGTGGCCCTAAGTAAAGTTTCTGGGGCCCTGAGTAACAATTATCTGGCACTCAGTAACAAACTGTCTGTCCAGTAACAATTCTGTGTCTGTCCCTGAGTAACAATTCTCTGGCACTCAGTAACAATTCTGTCTGTCCCTGAGTAAAAATTCTCTGGCCCTAAGTAAGTTTTCTGTGGCCCTGAGTAACAATTCTCTGGCCCTCAGTAACAATTTCTGTCTGTGTCCCTGAGTAACAATTCTCTGGCACTCAGTAACAATTCTGTCTGTCCCTGAGTAACAATTCTGTGGCCCTAATTAAAGTTTTCCCTTCTGTGGCCCCTGAGTAACAATTTCTGTGGCCTCAGTAACAATTCTGTCTGTCCCTGAGTAACAATTCTCTGGCACTCAGTAACAATTCTGTCTGTCCCTGAGTAACAATTCTGTGGCCCTAAGTAACAATTCTGTGGCCCCCTGAGTAACAATTCTCTGGCCCTCAGTAACATTTCTGTCTGTCCCTGAGTAACAATTCTCTGGCACTCCGAGTAACAATTCTGTGTCCCTGAGTAACAATTCTCTGGCACTCAGTAACAATTCTGTCTGTCCCTGAGTAACAATTCTGTGGCCCTAAGTAACAATTTCTGTGGCCCCTAAGTAACAATTCTGTGGCCCTAAGTAAACAATTCTTCTGTCCCTGAGTAACAATTCTCTGGCACTAAGTAACAATTCTGTCTGTCCCTGAGTAACAATTCTCTGGCACTCAGTAACAATTCTGTCTGTCCCTGAGTAACAATTCTGTGGCCCTAAGTAAAGTTTCTGTGGCCCTGAGTAACAATTCTCTGGCACTGGCCAGTAACAATTCTGTCTGTCCCTGAGTAACAATCTCTCTGGCACTCAGTAACAATTCTGTCTGTCCCTGAGTAACAATTCT